AGACTCATTGGTTTTGCTAATAATACTGAGATGTTGGCACATGCATCTCTAATCTGTATGTATCTGATTATTACTAGTCATAGTCGGTTGCACTCAGATCCTTGGCACCTGTGTATGGCTACAAAGTCATGGGGTAGATTTCAATGGTAATGTTTATCACAGGCCTTCTTACTATGACACATAGAGGATATATCCATGGATGTGACTGGATTCTCTGTCATGATTTTGTGACTTCTTTGACTTCAAAATGATAGATAGTATACTGATAGATAAATAGGTAGACAGATGATACACAGAAGATAGATGATACAGACAGACAGATTCCTAAATTAGGCAAAGGACAAAATAAGTAGCAGCAAAAGGGAGAAATAGAGCATTCCTTTACATTAACTGGTTTCTCTCCGTATAATTTATTATGTGCCAATCCATCTTTTGGCATGCAGAAGAAAATAAAGGTAAGCAATTGAGGAATTATCTTTAAGAGTTTGGAATGTAGTCAAGATGTTGTGAACACAAACTACCCCTATACAGTCATGCTGTGTGACAGTGTGCAATACTGGTTGGGATACAAAGTTCAGAAGACATTTCTATAGGCAGCTCTGGGTGGAAAGGAAAGACTTCCAGGAGGCTGCGACTTGGATACAGTCTGACTCCAAGGATACAGTCTGACTCCAAAAGTAAAATGTTTCTCATAGTAACAAGGGGCCACAGAATTTAGAGGCAAAAGAAGTAATATCAGGAAATCTTACCAGTTCTGTTTCTAGTGTTACAGTAGGAATAAAGGCCCATTAAAGGAAAACTATTTCCTTCAAATCAAGGGAATAAAGTCTCTGGCCTGGGCAGAGACCTAACATTGCAGTTGGGAAGGTCAATTACCTGGCTATGGGACCACCACAGGAAGTGGGATCACCTTAAGGCCTGCTAAAGAGATAGGAAGAATAACTAGCCCTTAATGAGATAATGTACTTTCTTTCCCAGAATTCCCACCTGGTGCAGTAGCCTACAGAGCCTCAGCCATGCAGTTTCATAAGTCTGCTGGTTTTCTGAATTACTCAGGAAAGTCTTTTTCTTCTGTCTCTATTCCAAGCATGCTTTCCCTAGTACTTTGGGCTTCACTTTTCCTCTAAAGCTCCCCTTCCCCCGTGTGGCTGCTTGTCTACCATGTGGTTAACTTCCATGCTAGCCTACTCAAGCAGATGGCTTTTTTTCTTTTCTCCTCTGTCGTCCTCCGGGCAGGTGCCAAGATTTCCAGCCTACCTATTCTGGAGGTTTTCTTTTAAACACTAATAAAATTGTCCTTGAGTTTCCTATTAAGTGCATTCTTAAAATGTTTTTAATCAACAAGATTAAAAACCTCAAGAGGGGACCCGATTTCCCCAATAACACTAGCTAAGAAGAGATCTTAAAAACCAAAGGAAAAGTAAATCAGAATATAAATGGGGACGGGGGTGTATATTAAAACAAGGAGAGGAGAGCTGGGCATGGTGGCATACACGTTTAGTCCCAGCACTTGGGAGGCAGAGGCAGGCAGATCTCTGTGAGTTCAAGGCCACCTGGTTTACACAGTGAGTTCCAGGCTAACTGGGGCTACAGGGAGATGCTGTCTGAAAAAGACCAAAAAAAAAAAAAAAAAATTAGATAAATAAATAAAAGCAAAAACTTCCCGTCCTCAAAAGATAAAGTTTTTTTTAAAAGTGAAAATCAAAGTCATACATTTAATGAGAATATTTGCAAAGATGTATCTGACAAAAGATATACCTATATAAAAAATTTATAGATCAACAATAGGAGATGAAAAATAAAAAATAACTTTATCTAGGCATGGTAGCACACATCTCTAGTTCTAGCTCTTAGGAGGTAGAAGCTGTAGCATCAGGAGTTTAAGGTCATCCCTGAATACATAGCAAGTTTGAGTGACTCTGATTTACATAAACTCTATTGCAAAAAAAAAGAACAAAAAAACATCAATTTTTTAAATGGGCAAAAAATTAAAACAAATCCTTCAACAAAGAAGGTATCTATATAGCAAATAAGTACATGAGAAGATATTTGACGTCATTAGTTAGACAAATTAAAATATATAATGTGGGCAGATGAGATGGCTCAGCAGGTAAAGTGCTTGTCATGCAAGTCCAGTGACCTAAATTCAATCCCCAGAACCCATACAGTAAGAGAAAACCAACTCCCACAAATTATCCTCTGACTTCCATACATGTGTTGTGGTACAAGTATGTCTACACACAGACATAAATACCATACAAATAGATAAATGTAAAAATCTTTAAGTACACAATGATACTACTACACGATTATCACATCTAAAAAAATTGAAATTTACCAAGAATTTGAAGCAACTTCAATCTCATATAATGCTTTGTGATGGCTAATCCTGGGTGTCAACTTGACTGGATCTGGGATTAACTGAAATGAGAGAGATCTTGATTGGATCATCTGAAGCTGGAAGACACACCCTAAATATGGGTGTTAGCTTCTGATGGCAGCCCGTATAAAAGACCATGGCAGAGGAGAGTGCTTGCTTTTGGCGGCTTGCCTTCTCTCTCGCTGGTGAGTTGGTCTTGCTGCTGTAGACTGAAGACTAGCCAATTGTTTGGAATTCATCAGACCTTCATTGCTAGATTGGGACTACTGAGACATCCAGCCTCATGGACTGAGCGGCTACTGGATTC